AACACTAGTATCAAATAAATAGTCGTTCTCCTCATCTATATGCTAAATTGATATTTATTACATATATTTATTTAATGAAATAAAATTCTTTTTTGAAGGGAATAATTTATTTTATGATGGAAGCAAAAACGTCTTAAACTAAAGTGAAATAATTGAATGAGAAAATTAAAATCTAGTAAAAGCAGATAAATCATTGAAATATTTTTAGATGATTCATTTTTAATGGAGAAATTCAACTATGATAAAGGCATTATCAAACTTACCAAGAATTATTTTTCAAATTAGTCTGGAGATTTAATTATAAAGGAGAGGACTTATATTCAATTCAGGTTAAATTACAAATAATTTTTATATAATTATGAATGGAACAGTTTAGAACTAGCATAAGATGAGGTTTCTTAATTTTGGATAGATTATATTGTTGAATAGTACGAGATATTTGATGAATAATAAATGATCAACTATCAAATATAGATAATTGAAATTAAAATATTTTGACATTTAAGTATGTAAATAAATATTATTTCATGAAGTTTGGATTAATTTTAGCCAATAATTGCAATTAACAATTAATAACTTAATTTTCTATAATTTTAAATAGCTGAATGATTAAAGTATAGCTAAAAGTTTTGTTATATATTCTTGAAAAATTAGAAATAATCCTTTATCTTTTAATAGAATTATATTGATATTACTTTTGAATGAATATTCTTGTATTCTAAATCATAGTTTTAATTTTTAGAATTTATGTCATTAAAGAAAAATTATAATCCTAAACAATTTATAGAACTTTACCTAAAACAGATTAGGTGAAGTTCAAATTATTGAAATGATTCAATTTATTAACCTAAGATTGAGTTATTGAATTTCTCACTCATATTCATTTTCTTCATTTCATTATGAAATATTTATAGAATAATTTTTTTGAAAATAGGTTTATAATTCTTAATGGTCTGATAATTTATAAATAAAACTAAATAGTCTTAAAACAAAATTCTATTTATTATTGGAGAATATTATAAATGTTTAAAGCCACATAAATTTATCATTAAAAAGATTTCGTTTTTGACATTTTCAATTCAAGATAAGGGGATTAACTATAAGAAATTATTTATACTTTATATAATAATAATGTTATAAATAGAGAAAAATGAATATTTATTGAAAATTATTATATTATTTTAATCAGTTTATAAATCGTAAGATGCATTCAAGCTCTCCTAAATGGAGAAGTAAAAATTTTGATAATTCTGACCTTGGAGATGAAAGAATTTTTAGCATTAGAACAGAAAATAATAAATAATCTCTTTTAAAGAGAAAATATTAGTTTACTGTTTAATAAATGGATAATGATGAGCAAATTGAAGACATCAATTTACTCTTTGATGATAGATAATTAAAAATAATAAATGATTTATCATTTGTGTAGACAGCAAAGGTTAAAGAGAAAGCTAGGAGAGCATCAATATCTAGGAAGATGAGTGTAATGATTCAAAAAAAAGAATAAGAAGAAAAATAACCAAGTTGTTCATACATATAAGTATTCACTCAAGAAGATAAAATAAGAATAGTTTGGGATATAATTACAATGTTAGTGATCTTTATGGCTATCTTAATATTACCAGTTGAAATTTCATTTAATGTTGAATCCACTTTTTTAGATGACTTTAATCTTTTTAGTTTAGCAGTATTTACTCTTGATATATTCATTAATTTTAATACAGCCTTTTAACATAAAGGTTAATATGTGTTTGATCGATCATTGATTGTTTAAAATTATCTGAAAATGTGGTTTTGGATAGATGTAGGTATCTATACATATTAATCATAGTATCTACATTCCCTTTCGATTTAATAGTTGAGGCTGCAACATCAAGTGTAGTATAAGTAGATGAAGATGAATTAACATAATAATAAAGTAAGGTTTAAAAGGATTCCCTTGTCTAAACAATGAAATTGTTAAGGATTTTAAAATTTTTTCGTTTAATTAAAATCATAAGGTTATTACGTGTATTAAAACTTAAGTAGCTTTTTGCTAAATTAGAAGATTACATAGATATAAGTGGATCAGTTATAACAATATACTAATTGCTTAAATTAACTTTTATAATGCTTTTTATTGCCCATTGGTTAGCTTGCATTTGGCATTTTATAGCTGAATAAGAAAATAGTTCTAGTGGGTATAGTTGGTTATAAGCAACAGAACTTGCAGAATAATAATGGTACATAAAATATGTGGCATCAGTTTATTGGGCTACGGCTACAATGACTACAGTAGGTTATGGTGATATTGTTCCAGTGACTTCAGTTGAGAAATTATTTGGTATAATTGTCATGTTGTTGGCGTGTTGTGTTTTTGCATATATAATGAATAGTATTGGAGGTATTTTTGTGAAATTAGATACAAATGAAAAAACTATAAGATTAAAACTTGGATAAGCAAACTAATTTTTGAAATCTAATGAAATACCTAAAGATTTATAAGCAAGAGTAAGAAAATATTTGGAATATAAATATGAGACAGAATCATCATAAGTAAATGAAAAAGATGCTTTATCAGTTTTATCATCAACTTTGAAAGATGAAGTATTATAGAATGTAAACACTTCATTAATTAAATAATCTGCTTTATTTAATTCAGGTAAATTTGAGAAGGAGATATTATCTTAATTACCATATCTTTTGGAAGAATAAATATATGGACCAGAAGAATGTATATTTATGGAAGGAATTGATCCAATTGAAAAAGAGAATGGCAATAATATATAAGATAGAAATTTGTATTTTCTAAATTAAGGACAGGTTCTAATATGTATTTAAAGGACAATTACTTGTTTAAAAATAATTGAAGGAGGAGCTACTTTTGGAGAATTAGCATTTTTTACAGATAAACCCAGAAGTGCTTCTGCTTATACATTAAATTTTGTATATGTTTAGATTCTTAACAAAAAAAAGTTTTTTGAAAAACTAAAACTCAATAATAACTAAAATTAAATATATTTAATGAATAAACATATAGTTGAAATTAATAATGATTATACACCATTAGGATAATGTTGTTTTGCTTGTGGAAATAGTTCACATTTTGCTTATGAATGTCCTAAACTTCATTATGTAATAAATCAAGAATAAGGTTTAGAAATAATTAAAGAAGAATAATTTAATCAAGAAAAAAATTAAAAAATATTTAATAGATAATTTATTCGATAAAATAAAAGAGTTAAGTATAATTCAAGAGCTAATTCTTAATTAACCAATATTGTAGCCGATGAAATCAAATTTGTATACAATCATAACCGTGAAGGCGAAGATGAATTTTAAATTTAATCTAATCAGTAAATATAATATTAAGTTCAGATCTAATGGCATAGAAGAGGAAGAAGAAAATCCTCTTAAAATTAGTGTCAAAGGATAGCTCCCTTATTTTTAAGAAGAAACTGATATTGATAGGATTTGCAGTTTTTCTCTTTTCTTTCCAAGCTATAACTATGATAAAATTATTTAGTAATATAACTAATTCACTCCAGAGAAAAGAAAAGAGATTATATAGAGGAAAAATTAAATGATTAAAAAAAATAGAAGTCATAAAGTCAGCCAATCCCATTCAGCAGAAAGAGCTGAATATTTTAAAAAATTAGAAGAAAAGTGCTTTGCCGAGTAATGATTATGTAATTATAAATATATTTGCTTATTGCTTGATAGAAAAAGTTCATTATCTAATTTACTTGAATAAATTAATAACTCCTTTATTTATTCTTAATTTTATTATCAAATGAGTATAATGACACTTTTCAAAAATTGTTATGAACATTTCAGAGGCAAATTTTCTAAATAATACATTTCTGCTCAAACTCCAAAAATGCATTAGAAAAAAAAAGTGCTTGTTTTAGATTTAGATGAGACTTTAGTTCATTGTGAATTTAAAGAGAATCCTAATTTTTAACATGAAGCCATATTAAAAGTTATTCATAAAGAATAAGAATATAAAGTTTACTTAAGAACTAGGCCACATTTAAATAAATTTTTATTAGAAGCTAGTCAAGATTATGAAATCATTATTTTTACTGCTGGTTATGAAGTATATTGTGAAAAAGTGTTAGAGTATATTGATAAAGATAGATTGATTTCTGATTATTATGCAAGAGGAAGTTGTTAATTTATTAATGGAGTCTGTTTTAAAGATTTATTCTTACTAGATAGATTAATGGAAGATATAATTTTTATAGATGTAAACTTGCAATAAATATTAGAATAATCCTAATGCTTTTGACAGATGTCAAGAAAATGGATTACTAATACCTTCCTATCTTGATTCAGATGATGATGATTGTCTATTAAAATTAATTCCTTTTCTTAAATTTCTATCTAAGAAAAAAGACTTAAGACCAATTATGTAACATCTTCATTCATATGAAAATAATATTGGAGCTACATTATTCACAGATAACTAAAAAACTTTAGAAATATAAAAAGAAGCAATAGATGATGATTCTCTTAGTGAAGATAATGTAGTTAAAAAAGATATTGATATTACAGATTTAGATATTAAACATAAAAAAACTTAAACTCATTTTGAAACAGTTTCTAAAGTAGGTAATAAAATAAGAAGTGCTACTCTATTTTCTGGATGAAATGAATTATTACAAATTAATTTCATTTTTTTCAATACTCAATAATGTTAAATTAATTATTCTATTGTAACAATCTCATTATGGCCTTTATTATCATATTTACCATTTACCACTGGTAGCTCAGAATATAAGAATCATCAATTAATAAAAAATATTATTACTATTAAATTTGCATATAATCTAATATATTCTATTGATTTTTTCCATTAAATATTCTAATATAATAATTAATCTACAAATTTAATTATTTCTATATATTTAAAATCCTTAATATAAATAACATCCTGCTGAAAATCGATAAATATATAGAAATTTAATAATATATATGATTTTTAAAAAAGTTGATAATAAACACTTATTAAAATTTAATCAGAGCCTTTATTATTTTACAATTTGTTTGATAATAGCTAGACATTTAGTTTCATTTAGACTTTCTAATGGCATCAAGATGAATGTAAATTTACTTGCTGAAACTAATTCTTATATTTTGGACAAATTTGTAATCTACAAAGTTCCTTATGCTACTAAAACTGAAAATCCAAAGATTAAATAAAAAAACAAAGTATTTTAAAAATCATTTTGTAATATTTTAGTTGTTGATTCCAAAATAGTAACATAAAATTTAACTACAGCTTTGTTAATATCAAAAAAGTATTCTAAAATATAATGCTTAAATTCTAAAGTTGATAAAAAATATTCAGTTTCAGTTTTATTTGTATTTATCTAGCCTTATAATTCTAATTAATAATATGATTTCAAAATTGCAATTAATCTATTATATTAATAATTAATTACTTTGAAAAAATCCCATTAATTCCATTCCTAAAAATTTCTCTATTATTGTCCTCATCTTTTGGTTTAGGGAAATCTGGAAAATAGAAAAATTAATTATTAGTAAAATTACAGAAAGGAAGCTAATCATTCATCACAGAACACAAATCATCTTAATATAATGTTTATAATATTTCTTTGTCAATTTAAGATATTTTTTTAGAGTTTACTATATCTTAAAAAATTATTTCATTGATTTCTTAAGCTTTTTAATATTTTAATTGGAATTAAGCTAATAATTCTTATTCTAAAATATGAAAATATTTATTTGTATCCAATAGTTATGGATTTAAATCAAGAAAACCTAATTCACGAACTTTTTCTGATAAAATTGAATTTGTTTTTAATAACTAAGTTAAAATCATTAAAGAATCTAAATCTTATTTGAATTAAACATATTAGATTGTTAATTGAATTTCTGATTAACTAGAATCTATACCATTTTTCATATAAAAAAAACTTGATAAAATAAAACTTAAAAAGAATAAAAGATACATGCTATTTTTGAGATAGACACCTATATGATTAAATTAGTAATCAAAGAGTTTTAAATTTTATTTAGTCTTTTTTTTTGTAAAATTTTCTATTTTATTTAGAATATCTTATTCACGCTTTTAAATATTTTTATGATAACATTCATTCATATAGTTAGTTCTTTTCCATCTATATGGATGATTAATTATTGATTTTGCTTATTTAGCTGTATTAATGCTTATTTTAATTTATTGCTCAGTTAAATGGCTTAATAACTAAATTTATAATTAAACTATTTTAAAAGGTTGTTTCCATAATTAAATTAAACAAAAAATACAACCTATTACAAAACATAGTTTGACACACAATAATATATTAAGTACAACATTTGTGTTTTCTTATTAATTTATTATTTCTACAATAATTTAATCTATCAAATTTTAAGAACTAGTTATTTAGTTTATTAGATTTGCTTTGATAAATTATAATTTATAATATTCATCTATAAGATAAAGATGATTAGATGCTGAGTAATTTAATGCTTAATTAATGTATTAAAATAATGATTAAGTGTATGTATCTGCAATCATATCAAATTATATCATTGATAATTCTTCTTCAAAATAACTAAATTCATTAAGAATTCTAACAGTTAAATTTTAAAGTCTATTTTCATTTTCTAAAATAGAGAATCTGTTTTTTAAATTTATCATCATAGTTTCCATTTCATTTCTAATAGTGCTAGCTTGATTGATTATTCGATAATTAAGATATTAGCCATAATCTTTACCTAACAATGATCTTTCTAAATCCATTTGTCCCATTGTAGCAAATGAACAATATAAACGATTAAATTTATCAGGAATCCTCACCAATTATATATCATATTATAATAAATCATTTAATTAAGATAAAACAATTAGTATTACTAACATCAATAAAAATATTATAATATATAGGAAGATAGTTACAATCCATATTTTTTTAATTGAAACACAAAATTCTTTATTTTTTTAATATTCTCTAATTTATTCTAATACTTAAAAATTTGAATTTCTTGAATATCGACTTGATTATGATATTTTTTAATCATCAAATTCAATTAAATCATTTTTTTTTTATTTTTCAATTTAAGAGCTACTATTTATTTAATTTATAATTTATTAACTTTCAACATTAGAAAAAAGCAATTCTTATTTTTATTCTTAATTTAAATCTTTAATTAACATTTGATTTTCATATATTCTATTTGTTTAAGGTGCAATTTCAGTTATTTTTTCTAAATCTGTTATAAATTTTGGAAGTGTAGAATGTGTAAAAATTTTAACTTATTATTATTAGATTAATTAAAATTAACTATATGTTGATGTTTTCTTATCAATACTAGGTATAGATTATGCTTCTTTATATTGTTTAGACATACTACAAATATAATAGTATTAACCAGTAGGTAATTAATGTATTTAGATTTGAACTTCAAACTAAATCTTGCAATTCAAAATTAAATGATTGCTCAATTATTATTTAATATTTTGCAAAAATTCTTCAAAATAAGAATTCTCTTTATAAACTTAAGGATTAATATTTTAATATTATTTAAAATAATATAAATATTGTATAAAGTTAGTTAGTATTGATATTTCAATAATAACTTTATTAATTGAATAATTTTCATGATCAAAATTAGAACTTTTTATTAAAGAATCAATGTTAGGAATCCAAAATTATATATAGCATTCATAAATAGATTGATCAATTGATGAATAAATTGATTAAGTAGAACTATTAATAGTGGGAGTATTCATTAATATCGAATAGATATATTTGGATATACCTAAGATTTTACCATTTTAATCAAAAAGTATGTAATCTTAATTAGATTGTACTTTTTTTAAAGCAGTAGTCAAAATAAAGTCTTCAGATTTTTCATTTATATGCAAGAAACTTAGTATGATTGGAAATATAAAACCTTCATAATCTTTACAAAATACTAATTTTCCTTTGTTGTATAAGGATGAATTTCCTTTATTAATAAATTTATAAACATATTAATCATGATCTTGACTTATAAATTTTGGCATATATAAATTAATTAGATGTAAATCTTATTTTTTATTTTTATCTTCATATCCAAAGAATCTACTAATCTCTTCAATATTTGCTTTTACAATTTATCCAGTTTTTTCTAAAATACTAGAACAAATAACAATTAGATCATTATTCATTATATTTATATTTAAAATAGAGGAATTTGATGAATTATTTTCTTATTTTATCAAATCTTCTATATAAATTTCAATAATTTTAGTTTATTAATAATCATTTGCAACAAAAGAAAAATAAAGAGATAAAAATCTTAATTCTACAATATTGAATTTTTTTAATGTTTACACTTTTAATATAGATTCCATATCAGTAGTTTATATCATTTAAATCATTTTGATTTTCAATTTATTCAAAATTTTATACATTTTAGTTAAATCTTCAGCAGTGTGTTCTATTTTATCATATCCTTTTTATAATTGAATCCATATTTATATTTTTTAATCAAGCAAATCTGAAAATATATCTAAACTACTTTAAAATAAATTATCTGCCTCTTTGATTTTTATAATTTAATAATGATAATGTTAATTAGATATACTTTCTCCTGAATATAAATCTTAAATTTATTGATCATATTTCTTACTAATTAAAAAACCTATTGTTTTAAAAAATAATGAATGATTTTTATTTTAAATCTAAAATCTCTTTGTCTCTAATAAACTTTATAGGTAAGTTCCCTATATTTCATGTTTTAAAAGGATTCTATATAATTAAATTTCTTCCCATTAATCATTTTTTTCTAAATTCTTCATATAATGCTCTAGCAATTAAAGAATACTTTAAGTATTCAAAATTTCAACATCTATATACTATTTTATCAAATAGTTTCCTATACCCTTTTAAATTGAATTTGAATTATTGTGATTAATAATCTCACCTAAATTTAGGATTAAAGACATTGAAAGTTTTTACTACTTTACATCTTCAGAAATGATCTAATATATTTACATAAAGATATGAGAAAATAGAGGAACTAGTAACATTATTCCATAAAATTAAGAATATAAAGATTCATTCCAAAGTACTATTCTAACTATAACTGATACAATTAGAACTCCTGTTGCACCAATATAGATGAGCTTTAATATTAACAACAATAAATACATTAATTTTATTGCAATATGGTTACATTATCATTGCATCAATAAAATATACAATACATAATAAAAGTAGTAAGTATTTAGACAAGTAATCAGAACAAAGGGAATATGTAATGAAATATAAAAAATCGGCAATTACAATTAAATAATTATAAAGAGAGTATCTCTTTAGCATATGTTATTATGATATAATAAAGTAATTACGAGAACAATAAACTATAATTAAATAGTTGATGTAAAGTGGAATACCCAATAATAAGATTACTATTAAATCATTTTATTGTTTTAAGTGATGTATTTCAGTGTGATATAAGATTATTAGCTAATAATATGATATATAGAAAGTAAATATTTTTGAAACAATTTACCAATTATAAAGTGAAAAGCTAAAAACTACAAACATAGTCAAATGCAAAATAGTATAGAAAATACTTATAAGATTATATATTAGATTTGAGTTGATCATTTCTAGTGGTTTTTAAAATGTAATCCAAGAAAAAAGCGATCCACTGATATTTAAATAAACTTCCTAAACAATATAATTATTCATACATCTGAATACTCTCTATGGGAATTTTATGGCCAAAACAAGAGATATAATTTTTACATCAAAAATATAATTACTATCATTATATTTATTGAAGGTTTTGCATCATGAAAGTATAAATGATCTAATAACTCTGCGAGTCTCAAATGAAATATTTCTTTAATGTATTATTGCATACGTTCAAATATAATTTATATAATTAAGATTTATGTTTTCTTGTTAAAAGTTAAAAATTCATTTTGATTACAAGTGAAATTAAATTAATTGTAATATAATACTCCTATTAAACTCAGGATTTCGATTACAATAAAATGACAATATGATTTTTCATAAGCAAATAAAAATAACTCAATTAATATAGCAAGAATATACTAATTACTTTTTAATATAGTATTAGTACTATTTTTAGATTTTATAGAACATTCATCTCTAGTCTAACTAAAGATGCAGGAATCTAGTACTACTTAAAACATCTATGATAAATGTCAATTTATTCATCATCATACTTTAATATTAATCGATTTCAAGACTCTAAAAAATTCGATGGTTTCTAATTAGATGAAGATAATATTAATAAAAAAATGTTGTTTACATCTAAATAATACATTGAGGATTCCATTTCAAATTGAAAAAAATTTAATAGAAATCAAAAATTATTTGGATTAATAAACTTTATATTTTAATAATTCAAATTATTTATTTTTAATTAAAATTTACTTTAATTCGATACTTTCGTATAATAATAGCTTCAAGAGATTTTAACTCAAGAAAAGAATGTTATTATTATTAAAAATATATATATCCTTCTTAGTAGGATATTACTAAATCATGTATATATTATCAAAGCAAAAAAAAGGGTTAAAAAATTTCAGATTCTAATTAATTTTAACTTTTTTAAACATTATTGAAATATGGATCTAAAAACAAATATCATACGATTTAAATTATACATTAAAAGTGGAAGTTGTTAAATTAAAATCATCTAAAATTACAATATTTTCGACTAAGCTATAATGTTATTTTAAATTGTGTTATTTCAGCAACGTAGTTATTTTGCTTTAAATAGATATTCCCTCTTAAAGATTCCAAATGTGACATAAGTTAACTACTTATAGCTTTGGCCTAATACATATTTATGCAGTTTTTTGGACTTTCTTTTTTTTCATACATGCTTACTATATAAAAAAAATTAAACTATCTATTTGTAAATTATTAGACTTACTATTTTATCCTTAACTTGAGTTCATAACTTAAAATTTATAGATAGTCTTTTATAGTCTTATCTAAAATAATTATTTTAAGGGTTTAACTAAATTATTTTAGTTAAACTTGTATCTACTTTTGAGATCAAAGAAAAATAAACAAATTGTTTAATTTAGGACTCTCTTTAATGGATATGTTTTTTAAGTTAATTTAAATCTCTGATAATTCTTTAAAATATTTTTATTATCTGAATTGTTAATGAACCTTCCCTCTATTAATAATTTTAATATATATTGATCATTTAAGGAAACATGGTTTTTTAGTATTTGCTTATGTAATCCTTTTTGTTCAAATATGGGAAATTCATTAATTCATTAACATTAAAATTAAATCATAAACATCAGAATCTAATAACAAAATTAATTAAGTTTTCTCCATCAACTAATCTATATTTTATAAATAAATACTCTAAATTGATGATCAAATATTTTTCATACTATTAAATGAAAGCATATGCTGTTTACTTGAATTATTTTCTTCCTAGTCATACATTAAGTTTCCTAGCCAAAAATCAAATTCCTGGAAATTAACTTCTCTTTCTCTTAAACTTTCAAAATAATTGATATTGAAGTAAAAATTTTTACTTTTTACTTTCAAAAAAGGAGCTATGTTAATTTGAATGTTTAGTATTTAAGTAAATATAATTATTATAATGAGCATCTTAATTAATGAATTGTTAATAGAGTTGAATCAGACAGTTTTTAGTTAATCATTAAATTTACTTAAGAAAAAAACATATCATTAATGACTTTTTTTAATAATCCATTTTTTTTCTTTTAGATAATGGGAGATAATCTTACAACAATGAATTTAACAATTTAATTCCTAAGTGAATCATAGTTATGTAATTCTTATAAAGTGAAATATTCCCCTCATGTAATAGATGATAATATTAATAATAAATTTACATATTAAATGTTAATATTATATTCATATTTATAAATAATAATCTTAAAGAAAAATGATTGATCAAAATTAAGAATTGAAAAAAAATCAATATTATAATGTATATCAATATAATTTTAAGACTCTTAAGTATTATGAAGTATTCTATTATTATATTATTAATCTATTTCAAGCAATGAGTCCTCAAAAAAAATGTGTCAATTACAATTTATTATAAAATTAGAAGTGTTTATTAAAAAATCAAATATTTTATTAGTTTCCTTGTTTTAAACAAAGCTGAAAACAATATTTAATTACAAATATTAAATTTGATGATAATTTTTTTATTCCTTTTTTTGAGGAGATAGAAAAAATAACAAGCATAAAAATATTAAATGTGTGATTTTAAAAATAAAGATTTTTTTTAATTAAATTTGAGATGTCTTAACAATAACCAAAAGGTGGAAAAGGATAATAAGCTAAGCCTGAAGCAAAGACTTAAGCTCCAGCTAAAGTTGTGAAACCATAAGAAACTAAAGAAAATGTGATGAGAAAGATTAGAATTGAAAAATTGATGGTTCACATTTGTGCTGGTGAGTCTGGTGATAAATTGACTAAAGCTGCTAAAGTTTTAGAGGATTTAACAGGATAAAAGCCTGTATTTGGTAAGGCACGATACACAGTCAGATCTTTCGGTATTAGAAGAAACGAAAAGATTTCTGTATTTTGCACAATTAGAGGTGATTAAGCAAAAGACATCTTATTTAGAGGATTAAGAGTTAAGGAAATGGAATTAAAAAAGAGAAATTTCTCTGATTCAGGAAACTTTGGTTTTGGTATTCAAGAACATATTGATTTGGGATTGAAATATGACCCATACACAGGTATTAATGATATAAATATTGCATAGGTATTTTCGGTATGGACTTCTATGTTGTCTTGTCTAGACCAGGTTTGAGAGTTGCTCAAAGAAAGTCAAGAAATGCCAGATTAGGAACTGCTTAAAGAGTTAGCAAAAAGGAAGCCATTGAATGGTTCAAATAAACCTTTGAAGGTAATGTCTATTGATACATTAACATAATACATTAAAAAATAAATAAATTCCATATATATATAATTATTAACTTAAAATTATTGAAATTTCAAATTCTTTAATAAAGAATTTAATTTCCAATGATTTTGTGGATTCAATACTTTGGATGTAATTATTTAATTTGCAATAAAATTTAATAACAATTGATTAGGTAGTTCTTTATGTCACTTTCTTATAATTTAACCATGCTAATGTTATCAAGATAGTATTAATTAAATTAATTAAAATTTCATTATTTTTATATTTTATTTGCCTTTTTCTTTAGTATAATAAATGTCTTTTTTCTCAAAATTCATGAAAAAATTATAACCACAAAGATTGAGTCAAAGAGAACAATTGATGTAAATTTTAGACAATGTACTTAAACCTAATATTCAATATAACTTAAAAGAAGGAACTGAAATACTTGCCCAGTATTTGATTAAAAGTGAATGTAAATTATATTATGATATTCAAGAACATATATCCACTTTATTTGAATTCTTAGCAACCATTACATTTGATTTTTAACCAATAAAAGTAATTCAATTATTATCAATACTTCATTAATTATTATCATAAGATGAATTAAGTTAAAATATATCCATAAAAATAAGAACTGTAAAGATGCCTTGGTTATAAAATATAGGAACATTTATAGGAATAAAGGATAAGAATGAAAAATGTTAGTAAACTTCATCAATTATTCAATTAAATGAAATACCATATTAAACACCAAGCTCACAATTTTTGTATGTTTAATAATGCTATTTTTATTTATAATTGCTTTCGTAAAACATTGATTTATATTATGCCATTTCTTTTAATAATTATCCATATAGTACAAAATATGAGATAGATCAAAGACTTAAGTGCACTTGGATTTATAAGATTTAAAATATAATGAATTATGCAATTCAGTTATTAGTTTATAATAAGGACTATATTGAGATTTAGAAAATTATTTATTAAGATATGTTAAAATTTCATTCATTCATTTGTTAGGAGATCACTTAAGTATTAGACTAATATGCTACTTTGGGAAGATGTTATACTTTAAGTTTGTATGAAATATTTTGTGAAAGCAACAAACATTACGAATAATTGAAAAGATTTTGGAAAGAAATTGGATTATAATAACCTGAACAATGTATGTTATCCAATGGGTTATTATAAGAATTTTTGCTTTTTGTATCCAAATTAAAATTGTTGAATTAGATAGTGAACAAAAAGAAAATAATAAATCCTTTATCTAAAATAAAGGATATAAATGTATTTTTATAAATTAATTAATAAAAAAGAAAATGAACTAAAGAAAAGGAAGTTAATACCAAAATGAAGAGTAAAATATTGAAGATATTGAGACTCATGATGAAGTTTTCATGTCAAATGAATCAAAGAGAAATTAAAAATTATTTACATCTTGTGCTGTTTAATTGTGAATAAAAGTTTATAATATCTCATTAATTAATTTAAAAATAATAAAATAAGATTAGTTGATCTAAGTGTCTTTTTTTGATTAGGAATAGACAAATCAAAAATATTTATACAATATTAAAATGAAATTGTATTGAGTGAAAAAAAAATTAATAATTACCGCAAATTCTTTCGCGCTTTTCTTGTTAATAAAATTAATGGATTAAATCAACTGTTAAAACCCAAACCATGATTCACAGAGAATCAAATATATTTGTGTAGATCCAAACTGTTAAGTATAACAAAAGATTGGTATTTTACTTAATGTGACAAAGGTTGTGCTGATTGTTTTTTGGAAGATCATGTTACTCATTAGAGAAAGACACTTGATTAATTTCATGATTAAGTCAAACAATAATTAGATACATTTAATTAGATTGAATTTTAACCTATTACAAATACAATTTAATTAGATTTAGAGAGGTAAATAGAGAGAGAATTAGAAAATTGTCTTTCTTGTATAACATATAGATTTACAAATATAAAAAGTGATTTAAAAAGTGTAATAGATGGGGAGAATGAAAAATTATAAGAAAGTTATAATGCATTACAATATAATAAAAATTAAGAGTTAGATTCAATGAAAAATGTGAATGATTTACATACAATTAATTAAGAGGAAGTAAATGATTTAGTTAAGTTCTATCAAGAATCCACAAAAATCTAGTAGAATTATTAAAAAGCTTCTGAGATATTATTAGATGAGAAATAAAAAGTAAAGTAAAAAAAATAGAAATATTTATATAAATTACGTACAATCATGTAAGGACTTATGAAAGAATTCAATGAATTAATGACAACTAAAAACTTGTAATAAGATGACTTTAGTGAATTTGAGACACCTTAAAAATCATCTATGTCTCCTAATAAAATGATAAGTCTTGTAGAAAGTACAAGATCATCAAGAAGATTTTATATGAATTAAACAAAAAAATTATTGTTTGGGAATGCTTCAAGAAAGATTGAATGAATAATTTAGTTATAATTTAAAAGTTTATAATTTAATTACTCTTTAAAGTGAGATAAAGGGATAGATATAGATTAAATATCATTCTTCAATAAACATTTATTATTCAAAAATAAATTTTATTTCATGTTCGATAATAGAAATCAACAATAGCCTACAATGCTTGGAACTTAATTGTAACAATAATAATAAGTCTTTCCTCCTTAATATTAAGGTGTAGATCCATATGCTTAAAGAAGTCCTCCCAAAGTTAATCCTTAAGGTTCTTTGGGATTATAATAATAAGTATAAAGCAGCTACGTTTAATAAACACCTTAATAAGGCACACAAACTGTGTATGAACACAAAGTTATTACAACAGGTTAAGTTTAATCTCCACAAATTCATTAAAATCCAATAGCATTTTAATAAGCTTCTACAATAAAAAGTAAAGGTTCTTATTGTATTGATTGGTGTGTTTATTTTATTCCAATCCTTTTCTTTGTTGCCATATTGTGTTTTATGAGTATGATAATAGCTCAAAAAGACAGAGATTTTAATTAAGAGCCAATCAACAATGTATTAAGATCATTCAGTCACAATTAAGCATTAACACCAATAGCTGATATAGTAGCTCCACATTTAGCCAGACCATCTAGTATGCATAGTCATTTCTAACACAAATCAGAGATAGAATTATGTCCAGAAGGATTCACATTAACAACTTTAGGAGAATGGCCAGGAATTAATTCTGGATGCATATGTGATAAATAAATAAAGAAGGAAGGATTTTGTTGGGCTAAAAGTGGATGTGATTCAATTGACAGCAAAAATGCTTAACAATTTTAATCATGGAATGGAGGAAGAATATGTTAAAAACTTACAATTGGTTGGACAAAATTAAATGGAAATACTTGTTCTGAAGGATATAAGAAATGTGGTAATGTTTGTGTTCCAACAAATGGAGATGCTTCTAGGATGTGTCCACTTTCAGATTTAACTTTATTAAATACTGATCCAACTACAGATTCAGATCCAACATCATTAAATACTTAAGTTGTTAAAATTGGTAATAAATGGTATAGAAAATCATATGATGGAATTCCAATTGTATAATTTTAAATTATTCCTGGAAATGCAGAATTAGGTAAGAATTCTGCTCCATGTTTTAATGATATTACTTCATCAACTTTTGAATCTTAATAATCTTATCCATTATTGAAGAAACCAGCAATTGGTTGTGATGAATTTGGTAATTTTTAAAATGAAGTTGTTAAGATT